ACACACACACACACACACACACACACACACACACACACACACACACAGTCTCACACACAGTCTCACACACACACAGACACACACACACGCGCACACACACATACACACACATGCACACACACACACACACACACACAGACAGACACACACACACACAGACACACACGCACACACATACAGACACACACACACACAGACAGACAGACACACACACACATAAATTAACACACATTTTAACAGACACACACACAAAACAGCAAACTCTCTTCATTCTACGCCCTCCAATCTCTTGTCCTTTTGGCTGCTCGATTGGATTAACCCTTGACCTTCAGCTCTGACGCCCCACCTGTCTGTGCAGCTTAACCCTCTAAACGCAGGTAAATTTACACAGGCTCTCCCCCTGCCCCTCCAAAGCCAGCACAGCCTTCTCGAGCTGCCCAGAGCTGAACACAGTTACTGGAGATAGTATCTGATCATATATCTAAACAGCATTACTTCCTCCCTCTCCATTCCATTCATATTCTACCCATTATAGTGTTAGCCATGGCTCTGTTAGTAGCACACTTGCCTCGGAATCACAAGGTTGTTAACCAAGGCGTGGAGTACAAATACCTAGGATGATACTCCAGTGCAGTACATAGGAAGCACTGTGCCATTAAAGGGGCAATCTTTCAAATGAGATCTTAAACCTAGATCCTATCTGTCTTCTGGGGTAGATATGAAAGATCCCAAGGTCACTGTATCTTGGCCAATATTTATCCTCCAATCAACGTGGCAAATTATCTGGTCATTGTCACATGCTGTTCATGGGACCTTGCTGTGCACAAATCAGTTGCCATGTTTCCTTCATTACTGCATTGACTATGCTTCAGAAAGTGCATCTACATAGCCCTATGACATGTTTGGTGGATGTGAAAAGTGCTAATTAAATGCAGACCTTTGTTTTTGATCAGTTTGTAGTTGAATGTTTCATATATCTTCCAGGGAATAGTGTAAGTTTCATCTCATGGAACAGTGATCTCATAGAATCCTTACAGTGCAGAAAGAGGCTATTTGGCCCATTGAGTCTGCACTGACCCTCCAACCCATACCCACCCCAGTAATTACCAAGTCTAACCCACATAGCCTGCACAATCCACCAAACCTGCACATCTTTGGACTGTGGGGGGAATCTGGAGGAAACCCATACAGACACGGGGAGAATGTGCAAACTCTACACCGACAGTCACCCGAGGGTGGACTCAAACCCAGGTCCCTGGTGCTGTGAGGCAGCAGCGCTAACCACTGAGCCACCGTGCCAGTGACAACTCTGAATCAAAATGCAACTTTTAAAATCCACTTCTGTTTGGAGACAGTGTTGCCCGTCCAACAGATCCATTTTCGCCAGCAGCACTAAAGATCCAGTTATGCAGCAGCCAACGATCACATGAATGTTTGAACACATCAGTTTTTGAACACTGTCTAACCAGGGCAATTGCATTTATAAAGTAAAGGAATGTACACATGAAGGAATGAAACAGGGTTACAACAACAGAACTTGCAGGAGAAACTCAGCAGGTCTGGCAGCGTCTGTGGACAGAGAAACAGAGTTAATGTTTCGAGTCCAGTGACTGTCTAAGTAAACGACTGTGTCTGCGCACAATCCATCGCATCAGCAATTCAAATAATGGGGAGCTGGCTAACACGCTGTGCACCCCTGATAGCAGAAAGTGTATAAATGCATGCTATACTCAGCACAAGGAGTGACCGTGACTGAAATACACAGCATAATATTAATCAGAATGAACTGAGGGTCAGGACAGAGAACTACAGAATGGTAAGATCTGTAGCGCACAGTGTGTTCGAAATAAGCAGCATTAAACTTTGGAGAAGGGAAATAGTAGCAAATGTATACACAATTCTGCAAAGTACACAAACAAAAGTAAGATCCTTATACCTCAGTGAGTCAAAGACAAGTTGTAAAAATGCAGCTGATCTGATAAAGGAGTTGCCGGATATAGCATTGTTTGCAGTTGAGGAGTGGAATGTAAAACAGATGTAATGGGCTTGTTTCTAAGTAATTTTAAGATCCATTATGCCAGTCCTCTTTGTTGTGTGCATCCTGCATTATGGTATCATTCAACTGGACAGTGGGAGAGCGAGAAACTGGATCTGACCCCTGAGCAAAAGATTTGAGTCTCGTGCTGTGTTTAAATTGGAAAATTGTTTCCTGAATGCCTCAGATGTCAGTTGCTGTAGAAACAAC